GAGAGACCTGGGGCCACTTGCTTTTCGAGATCCTTTTTGTTCTCGGCCGGCCAGACTGAGATCCCTTTTGTTGTTGAAAAGATGGTAATTTTGAGGGCTGGAAGTCACGGTTAAACTTTACAATTGCCCTGCAATTTCATTAGGAGAACTTAATTGAAAAGAGGTTCCCAGTCATCCCGGTACCACACCTGCACGGCAGCCTTGTGTTTAAGAGCAGCAGCTCTGGAGCACTCCAGCAGGTGTGCTCTGAGATTGGGTACAGCGCCGTCTCTCATCTAGTGACGGGAGGAATTTTACAAGAAGCCAAATTACAGCAACCCATCTTCTTCCTCTCCGAATATTCCCATGGTTAAAGGTCTAACAAGGAGCTAATTGTGGCAATTGTTAGCCATAAAAAAGAAAGAACCTGACCTTTCTGTGCCCATTGTGACATTTTGGGACATTCCATCGGGCACAAGGCCTCCAACAGAAAATAAATAAGCCAGTGTTGAAAATATTTTGTGTAGAACTTCAAAATCATTAAATAGAAAATGACCGTTTTGACATAACACTCATCAGTTATCTAAGCCTACATTGGTTTGGGAAGATATGTGATTTCAAAATTCATGATTCATGGTGAAGATTTCCTAACATTTTAATATTTCCCGATCTGTTCAGAAGCATTTGTTTGCAGTGTTTAATAAACTTTTAAACACCTAAATTCTGTTCACAGTTCATTGAGAGTTACTGATGACCCATGAAAACCCTTTCCAGCAGCACAACCATGATTGAGTGATACTGTGACTACAGGGTTTACTTTCAAGAAACAAAAAAATTGAGACAGGGTGATTTTTACTGATACAAGGAGAACCAGTGGCAGGTGGATTTTATTCAAAGTTATGGGCACCACTTTCTGAAAGAATAGCCATGTAATAAGAGATGTAACCTGATCTTGTGAAGGTAATTACAGAACAATCAGGGATTTCTTCATGTTGGAATGGGTTTTGCATTAAAGTTTAAGAAGAAAATGTCCATTTATATTCCAATAAAGCAAAAGACCATTCCGGTGAAGGGAAGAGAGAAGATTAGTGAGGACCTGTGTAGTGTCTTGCTTCAAATTGTCATGGGGACAAACTTTGGCTTCATAACTCTTTGAAGTGTCACTTTGTTTTTTTGGAGTGATGGAAGGGGGGGGCGGCAGTTAATGGGGATTGTTTGTGGGAATGCAGTGAGCCTTTTCCCATGTTTGCAGACAGAAACAGAAGGAGCGTAGGGACCAGCGAGCCAAAAAGAGCCAGGCTACTGACCCTGCTCTTTAGCAATGTATTCTTCTCCCTCTCCGCTCTCAATGGAGTGTGTGTACCGGATCTGCCTGGGATGAAATGTCATATCACAGACTGATCCTTATCTCTTAATCGCTTCCTTTGTCTCCCTTGATTCCCTGGGCCTTGCTGAGGGCCCCGTGGCTTTGATCTGCAAGGAAAGGGCCTGGCGAGAAAGAAAGCCTCCTCTCGTGCTGTCTGAGTTGAACCACAGGCCCGAGTGTCATCGAGAGCAAATCCAGGCAGGGGGACTGAGAGTCTTCTTCAAAATAAGAAAGGAAAAAGGAAACCAAACCGCAAGGTTGGGATTTTCACCAGCTGACTTGGGAATTTATATATTTCTTTTGAGTATACTGACGGGTACTTGCCCAGCTCAGAAACCTAACTGGTTTCTGCATGCCGGTTTTGGTGCTATTTCTTTTTGGGGGGGTTTGAAAGCCTTTTAGAGTTTCTCTGGTCATTATTTTTTGGGGAAGAAAGATGTAGGAGAACTGAACTGCAGAACTGAAGAGAGAGCATCTGAAAACTAGGATTTATATCTGTCATCTGTGAGACACTTAGTGCTTCTCACCTTAAGGATCCATTCTGGCTTTCTTTCTGTTTCACTCCTCGAATTTCTAGAAAGAAAATTTTGTTCTACTCATAAGGCTCTGAGACAGAAATTGGAATTTGCAAAGAAACTAAAAAAAGCACTGTGTGAAGCAGAGGTTTTATTTGTATAGAGTGACTGCTGTCCAAGTCTTCCCTAATTTGCTTTTGTGCTGCAATAAACATTGTCCTTCGTGGTGGAACTTGTAAAACACTAGTGCACTTAATTGTGAAGTGAACAATACCTTTTTGATCACAATTCACTATTAGGTGTTACGACTAGACACTCTTTCCTTATACTGGCCCTTTCCTGTGGATTGTTTAGCCTGTGCAATTAGGGAGTAGATGAAACATGCCACAATGTGTTGAACATACAGCTTGATTTTATTGTTTCACTTCATTAACAATATTAGAGTATCGGTATGGACGGAGATGGTGGTCTTCCACGGTCATTTCACAGTATGTGTTCTCATTATAACTTCTAAGAAGACTAAAACCAATCAAGAACTTGAATAAATAAGGCCATCGTCACTGCAGAAACAGCATTTCTTTCCTTAATTGATCAGTTCACTATTTTCACTATGTCCTGCTCCTTGCTAACGTGGAGCAATTCCTTCAGTTACCAAATCTAAGCACTGTAAACTCAACAGGGAAGAAACCTTTATGGATGAGGCAGGTGTCCCATACCAATTTCCAGTAGCAGTAGGATTGTTATAAGACGGGGTACCACTAAGACAGCAGTGTTGTGTGGGTCTCAACTAGAGCGATGGTCAGCTAATTTTGTTTCAACTCCCCTGAGGAACAAACAGATGTTTGCTTTGTATCACAGCAGCCAAATATGATACAAATCCAAAGAATTTTAATGGAAGAGGAAAAAAACAAACTAGATAAAGAAACAAACCCCACACAGAAGATTCAGATCATTCGGGTCTTTTTACCAAGAGACATCTGGCTGTGTGATCACATGAATATAAATTGTAAGAAAGGTATTTTATTAATGGATGGGCATCTGATGCTTTTTTTGGAAAGCTACACATACTGCACACTGCACTTTCACTGTTTAAGGTATCTACGTCACATGACCCCATTTCAAGCTTCTCAACTGTATTGTCGAAGCCAATCAATGAACTACTAGCAGCCAAACAAGTTGTAGAGGCCGAATAGCTTCCACTAGTTATAACTTTTTTAAGTTCCAAAAATACTGTTCAGCCATATTCATCTTTTGGTTTGCTGATACATTGTTGTGAAGCAATGTCTTGTAACCAAGTATCATATTTATGGTATCTGATGTTTATGTCCTTTTAGGCTGTGATATGTGCTGAGCCATCTGTTGGTAAAATATGAAAAAACTGCTACCTGTGATTGGGGTGAGATGGAGATGAATCATTTGCTATTTTACATGCTATCAAAGGAATAAGTGTACCTTTGTGTCCTCTTTCTCTGTCTGAGCTAAGGATGCAGATCAATACTTCATCTGCCAAGTGAGTCCACAATTGTTACTATATTCAAGAAGCATAGTTAAGTTTTCTAATGTCAACAGTGATCAGTACTCAAAGCCAGTAACCTGCCAAGATCAACAGCAAACAGTTTATAACGAGTGTTTATCGATAGCTTGACTTTAGGAAGGGGGCTAAAAGGCTTAAACATTTCCAAATCTGAAGTCCAAATTGAACTGAAGATATTATTCATAAAATGGGCACAACAGTAGAAAATGGCAAATTCATAATGATTGGAGAAAATCAGAAATTGTGATGAAACAAAAGTAATCAACATAACTGTTCAATCAACAAACAGCGGGTTGCTTTGTTTCTTTCAACATGAGAACAAATGTGCATCTCTGAGAATGACAAAAACTATTAAAAGAGATGTAGACCATTTATGAACAAAAACCTTTATTTTAAAAACCATTCATTGTATCTGCATTGAAGTTTGAATCAGACGTATTTAACATTCTATAACAAATTGAATTACAAACCATTTATAATTGCTTTGAGCTTCATCTTATTTAAGCATGGTTCACTTTTATCTAATACATAGGAAGTCAAAAATGATATTTAATGTACGGACTTGTTGTCTTCACAGAACATGCTCCTCGTTGTAGTTGAGGTCTGCTATTTCCTTTTGAGTGGATATTTAAATGGCAACCCATGAAGGGGGAATCAAACACAAGCTCTTGATTAAGCAATCCAGCAGGTCATAAAAAAAAAACAGACCAAGCAAACAAGTCTGTTACCAATGACAACACAAGCTGCTTTAACTAAATCAGCCTGCAAGACAGAAGAAACTGCAGCTGGTGTAGCAGTACACCAAGTTACAGCTTTGTTAGCAGGGGCAGAGAAGTAATTAGTGAGCCACGAAGACAATATTGATTGAGGGATTTTGAAGAAGTAGCTTTATGATGAGACTGCAGCATTTGCAGGCCATAAAAGAATGTAAAAAAAAAACAATGCTGAAAAAATATAGCTCTAAAGATGTTGCTAGCTTATCTTGCGTACTCTGTGCATAGGTTCAGACTCACTTGGGGAATACAGATATTGAACGTCAAGCTGTATCATACACAAGACTCGTATGCTGCTTCTCGTGCAGATCCCCAGGCACAGCAGCTGTGCGGAGAAACAGGCGGGGAGCAGGTCAGCTCCAGCAGAGCCCTCTGACTGGTCAACATGGGCCACAGCCACACCCGGAAAGGCTCCGAGCACATTGAGCTGTTAGGAAGTCAAGCCGTCTGGAGTGAATTAGGCACAGGGTACAATAACTCCTACAGAACAGGCTGGTAGCAATTCTAAGAAGAAAAATAATATATTGAAGCTTTGAAAAACACAGCCATCCCAAATTCAACCAAAGTGACTTCCATAAGGGGGCCTTTGCTCTGAACCGAACAAGACAAGCAAGGGCGTATTTTAAAAAATGCATATATGTAGCCTGTCACAGATGTGGATGGATGCCTTTAACACAACCTCTTTTGTCTGCATGTTTTATGAAATGGTTCTAAAATGTGTGTGTATTGCACTGAAACAAAAGGGAATTGTTTCCTACAAGAAAAGGAGTCTCCCTTTACCACTCTATTCTTAAAACATTTACGGTTTCTTGTGCTCTCCTCCTTTCTTTGAGGTGTTTCACTGTCAGCAGATGGGCGCGATCTCCGTGGCACACTTTGGAAGAAATGACCAACCACGGGAATTAAAAGGTAAGGAGGACAGGTAAAATTAAAGTATTTTTTTCAATTGCACTGGAAAGCTTGGCGATATCTGTACTGACACTGGTGTCTTGTTTACTTTATAGATGTGTAGTTCTGGAGTGTGACCAGGGTAAACTGATTAGGTCCATTAAAAAAAACTTTTAGTGTGCCATATGTGCACTTTTACCCAAATTCTACTTGTAATGTTGGTTCTCTATAGTGCATCATCCTTTTCCCACATTGATAAGGATATAATGAACTGCAATTTCCTGTAATTGAAAGCAGTGACTGTTAAATTAACTGGGATCTTCTGGATCTGAGTCACACTTCTACACTATGTCAGTACATCCAGAAAACCTTGGCACTCAGAGGAAAGCCTGGCACCAGTGTGCCTGGCAAAGCACCTGTGCCTGCTTACGCTGCATACACTCCACTAAAACCGTTGGCCAGAAATTCTGAATGCAGAATCCTCACTTGCACGGCAGTTAACGTGCAGCACAACTGAAATTGGGATAATTACTGTGTAACCTGAACCATGTGAAAAATAGTAAAGGTAGTTGTGTACTCGTCCAGTGCAAGCAGTAGGGAGTGAAAGCAGTAGAAACTATGTTATGCTAAAGATATGTCCTTTATTCCCTAATCTCTTGTTTCTGGCGAATGAATCATAGAGAGGTCTGTAGTGTCATCAGCCTCCCTCAATTTTAACACCTTTGGAGAGGTGCTCTCAAAGGAGGCAATAAAAAAGGAGTCATCCCTGGTCTGTTGAGTTGAGAATGTATATTACTGAAGATCAAAGAAACTGGCAGATGATAGCAAGTATCAAAACACTTTGAAGATAAGAGTACCACAATGGGTTTTTGCTGGGGCTGTTTTCTTTGCGTTTCCTTCGCCCCATGCTTGCTGCTCTTGGGAGGTGGAAGAGGCTATCCCCCGCTCGCAGTGTGCTCTTGCCCTCAGACATACAGCCCTTTTCCATTACATTCCTCCCATTCCCTAGCTAATCAAAGACAGAGGAGGAAGCAGAAACCAGCCAGGTCCCGACTGTCAGTCAAGCTTGCTAATAACCACTTTGCCTTGTCCCACTGGGCTGCGCTGCTGGCCCACTGTAGCATGAAGGCTTGGCACTTGGCAAATTCAATTTTGCGTAAGACAAACAAGTTAATGTTAGGAGGGGGAAGGAGAGTGACTGTATTCTAATGTTGCTGCAGTACTGTGGTTCTGGCTGTAGGTCAACATGACACAAAAATAAGTTTTAATAAGGCCCTTTGCAATAATGGATGTGGCTGCAGGTACACCATCTTGAGGTTGCTTTTCATCATTCTTTTTCTAATGCATTTAATGATTTAGGGCCCAAAGAACATTTGCTGGAACCCCTACATGTAACTTCTGGTGACACCTGTTTTGATTCTCCTTTTTACAGCTCCAGAAGCTTCCGTATCACCTCTTAGAAATAAATGACAAAAAATCACTCTCACATACAAGGACCTAGACAGGCGATATGAGGCATGGCACAAAACAAAAAAAAAATGGTTCATATTCATATTGTTATATCTTGTAAAGTGTAAATAACCTATTCTATTGGGGTTCAGGAATCAACTAACGTTTTAAATGAGTTTCCTGGGAACTTACTGTGTACCTTAACTGCGCTGCATGGACAGTAATTTATCAGCTAATGAAGAGGATGGGAGATTGCCACTGACAAGTAAAACAGTCTGTTACCCACACAAAATTAATACTGGAGGGACACTACTCTGCGAGTACTACATTTCAGAGCTGTGTACATAGACCGTGCACATCAGACAAAAACTTTTCTCAATATTCTCTTAAGAGTGTCAGACTTCCTTTCTTTAATATCTGGAAATGAAATTGACAGTGCCTGGATAAAAAAATGTATCAACACTGCAGTGTTGGCCAGGTGTCTGGATTCTGAAACTGGCATGTGTGCATTCTCCGAGCAGTCAACAGTAGTAAAAGGCAAGGTGCTTATCAGGTTGCTGCTTCCTCGGCCTGAGCAGACTGAAGCTCAAATACAACAGTAGTCTGGTGAGGACTGGTTCACAATAGAAAAAGCAGAGCATGACTTTAAGGGTGATAAATTAGAGCAGACGGTTTTGAGTACTTCTGTTTTCCTGTTGAGCACCTACGGAGATGTTAAGAAATTGTCCTGCGTTGCAGTAGCTGCCAACCATAACATCCTCTTCCTCATGGGCTACTTTTGTGCTTGCCAGATTTCATTACTGACTTACATTGCTCTCTGGTATGTGCCTGAACTTTTAAAGCCAAGTGCGTTTCTCAGCCTTTCCCTATTAAAATGACATACAAGGCGCAGACATGTCTTGTTCTGTGTACTCTACTAGACAAGTGATGAGAGCTACCCCTTTTCAATGCCTCTTTGCTCCAAAGAAGCAAGTTTTCAGCGCCCGGGAACCCGTGGTTTAGTTTTATCTTAGATTCATGTAATTCATGTATTCTGGACATTCAAGCGGGAGTCCATTTATTTGGCATTTCCTTTTATTCTTTCATCGACCGCACCGTGAACATAATTGTTAGCAAAGAGAGCAAAGTAATAAAGATTTTTGTTTCAACACAAAGATTATATTGTGACAATCTCAGAGTTTCTACGTATGAAGCTGAGGCAGAGTTGCATACCTTTAGATAGACTTGGACACCATAGGAAGTTAAGCAATCTTCTGACCTGAGTCTGACTTTCTGTTCAAACTTATCGTTTCAATGTAACAAAAAAAAAGTCAGCGGGTTCTGAAAACGGGTTATCAGTATGTACATTGAACCAGAAATTGTGGTCATGAAGATAAATACCAGGTTCATCCTGTACAGGACAAATCCTGCTTTAAAACAGGGAAATTGGCTGAAAACAGATAACAGGACTGATGGAGGAAAACACCCACAAAAGGACAGGCTCAAACAACAAGCGAAACAGCGTCTATATTCTAAGTAGCTTAGTCTTTGCAGGAATCAGTGAAGCACCAGGCAGGGAGTCGATTACTGAGCCATAGTAATAAAACAAAGCACTTGTAACATGAAAGAATTCCAGCACTTTACAAGAGGAAGTGTGACATCTGAGAAGAAATGTTGTTTGAATTCTTGGTGGACTCTTCTGGGCAGCATGTCAAGCATAGGATTTATTGAGCTGTTTTTTTTATTTTTTATCCTGTGAATCCTGTTTCCTGGCTGTTCTCCCTCCTACTACATTGACTTGAGGAAGAGATGAGACCCCAGCCCAGAAACAAGCTTGAGTTCAGGAAATCAGCAGTGGCATGATACTGGCAGCTTCAAGGGCTGCTCTTTGGTGAAAGGATTTTCTGGTTATCTCTCAGAATGTCCTGAAGTGTAATACATTGACCTGTACTGATGCTGATATAAACCAGTTGTGTAATAGAAGTAGTAAACAATTTTTAACCAGTTTCGAAATGCAGGCAATATAAAACATTTCTACCCTTGTTTGGAAAAGCAGGTTTGGTTTCGATAACTATGTGACACGTACATTTTGTGAAAAACATTTCTGGATCCTTTTATAGTGCTTTTCTTATTTTTATTTCTCTTTTATTTCTAAAAGGCAGTCTTTGACCAGCATTGATAACATGTCATGTTTCTGAAGGTGATTGATCTACGCTAACATTACATGTGAAAGGAATTAATTTACAAACAGATTGCATTCATTCAGATATTCAAAACATTACAAAACATGATGTGAAATACACCAGCAGGGTCATCTCCAGACTACAAAGAACAGTCTTCAGACAACAGATCTTTACAAAGCCTAACTCTGCTCCACACTCTGTCCACACAGTGTATCTGAATGAATTTGAGGCATCCAGGAGCTCACCCTGCGGTCCATGGGGGTCCTAATGCTCCAGTATAGTGACGGGGACACTATACTGTAAACAGGTGCCGTCCTTTGGATGAGACGTAAAACCGAGGTCCTCTCTGTGACTTTCTGTGGTCATTAAAAATCCCAGGGTGCTTCTCGAAAAGAGTAGGGGTGTAACCCCAGTGTCCTGGCCAAATTTCCCATTGGCCCTTACCAATCATGGCCTCCTTATAATCCCCATCTATGAACTGGCTTCATTACTCTGCTCTCCTCCCCACTGATAGCTGATGTGTGGTGAGCGTTCTGGCGCACTATGGCTGCCGTCGCATCATCCAGGTGGATGCTGCACATTGGTGGTGGTGGAGGGGAGTCCCCATTACCTGTAAAGCGCATTGAGTGGAGTGCCCAGAAAAGCGCTATATAAGTGTAGGCAATTATTATTATTATTATTATTATTATTATTATTATTATGTATTGAAGAATCATGCTCTGTAGTTGTACAGAAGCTCAAATGCCAAGTCAAACTTTCAGTGAATTGATTAGTGAGAGGATGCCATTTGACATTCCCTGATTTCTGAGGTTACTGTTTTTGTCATAGAATTGCACAGCCTTAGATGTTTTGATCCTAAAAACATCTACAGTTCAATTAAAGCAGAGGGCTTCTGAAGGTATTGGTGTTCGGTGTCATTCAAAGGCACAGAAGATTAGGCAATGTGTGCACAAAATAGAGAAAAGTCTTCAGGGGGATGTTTTATTGTGTGATAAGCTTTGCTCTTTCTCTATTAACATGCATTTCAGTGGTCCAGTCCTATAATGTACATATATAAATTTCTGCTCAATAATAGCAGCTATGAAGCAGAAAATTACAACTCAATAAGGGCTGACAGAGAAGCCACAGTCAAGCCTGTAAACTTCATATTTTATTTGTGGATTACTTGATTCCACACGTCATTGATCAGTCTTTTTTGCAATAAGCCTTATACAGATAAATGTTGCTGTTTTCTGGATTTTTAATAACACACAGACAAGATTACTCAGGGTTCCGCCTGTGTGCTTATATAACTTTTTATTTTTATCGGCATTGATGTGGATAATTATAACTTTATAGAATTTTTTTTCCCTCTTTGACCACATCTGCAGCAGAAGCAAATAAAAGTGGAAGGGTGGAGGCTGTTTGTTC